TCACGTTGTCTTTCCAGATTTAATTCTTTTCGGTCCTCGCTTAGTAAACGGGAAAAGATGTCAATAATGCCTCCTACAATCAGATACGTATTTATATCAAGCAGAGTGTTAACATGTGTAAGAAGGCTGTAAAGTTGTACAAACAATTAAAGAGTTAACCGACACTCTCGTGTTCACGAATACCGAGAGACTAATCTTGAACGGGTGAAACACAAGGGGGCATTATTATTTATTGGTCCTATTACGGATTAAGGGAGAAACTTGGTTTTAACGAATCAATCTCATTGAAACCGTGTGTGGAACCCACCCCTCTTGCGGACATCTTGTCATTGTTATTTTGTAGAGATTATAAGCACTTGTTAATTCAAGTAAAACAAAAAACGAACCCTAACAGCAGCTCCATAAATATTTAATAGGAAGGTGTAATGAAGACGGAGATGATGATGAGACTGGTGAACAAAAAGAAAAGCAGGCATTTCTAGGCTATGTCATGCCTCATCATGCCGATCATCGCTTATTACATGACGATCCGAAGTGGTAGACAATGTGGAGCCAATATAAGGTTCCCTACTTATTTTACAGTACCTGCTATAAGTATGTACAAACTTATTCATCTATGGTGTCCAATTGTGTAAATGAAGTATTTTTCACACTATCTGTAATCTGGCTCGACATGTGTCCGTTTTCATCATTGTAAATACATGAAATAAAGGCTAACAGGGAAAAATCTATAGTTTAAAGTCTTTTTTGGAACTAATTTGGGCAACATTTGGTTCAGTTTTTACGACTGGACAAAGAAAACACAGTGATGAGGAGGAAAACAGAGACACGACACACAAGTACGAGTTTGTACTTAAGACTAAGCAATTTCTGGAATGATGATGATGGGATGTCGAAGAGTTTCTGTATTTTAAGTACACAAGAAAAGGATCAAAATGCAGAATTTCTGAGAATGAAATGTGAGTATCTGTGCTCCAAAGTCTGCTGACTGACTGCCTCATCTATCTTTGAAGAATCTTCTTCTTCCTCAGGACAAGATAGGAGGAAAAAGAGAGCAAAACAAAGGGATCATTTTGGGACCTTTCTTTCTTGAGATGGAAATGTGTTTTTCTCCATGAAGCAGATCTGCAGGGGGTCCCACTTAAAGCGCAGCCTGGCCAGGAAGTCCTAAGGAGAGCCACGCCTGTATTCACGTGCACCATTCACATCTGTACGAATTATCCAGTTTCATACTGTCCAGCGCCACGACTAATGTTGACACCGTTAAATGGAAACAACCCTCAATGAACCATGTCGTCGTCCCATCTCGCATCTTATTATTACTTATTTCGAGTTCATCCGTAAAGAAAATAAAACGAGTTGTTGCACTCATAAAACGCCGTAGCATACTCACAAATGGAATAAAGTTTTGTGCTATGCCAAAAACTACTAAAGAAGGTTAATTTGCAAAAAGAAACGCAATTTTATTATTAAGCATATTTATTCGTCAGCCACAAAAGACACTGCTTTACATAGACCGATATACATATGTAGATATATTTAATGATATGATGCATGCTCTTTCTGGTCCACCTAAAATAACTTTTGTGATATGTATGAAAAAGTGGCGATGCAGTGTCTCTGTGACAAATTACCTCCTTCCTTCTATTACTCTTTTTACTTTGCAGGCCCGATGTCCAAATTCTCAATAACGAGCCGCCCAGAATGAAGTGGACAATATTGATCAAATAAGAGAGAGAAGACATGCACTTAACTTCATATCACATAAAGTCACCACCACACGTACACACGTCTCATCATCGCAATCAAACCATATCATCATCCTGCTAATAATCCTGCAGCCTTCATTCATGCTACTCGCCCATCTCTCAATCCAAACTTTGCTCGTGCATGATAAAATATGGACAAAAGTCAGAGGCACAACTTTATTTTATTGCTCAGCAAACATAATAGAGTTGGCCTGTGTAATGCAGTTAATGATTTGGTATGATACCAACTTTGGCGACGAGGGGCATCGATTTCAATTATTATTCTACCAAGTTGTTGGAAAGAAGGCCACTTATTTACTTGTATGCGTGGTATGCATGACAGTGGCAAATTATGTAGAAGCCCACTCCAATAGATCTCTGGCATTGGGTCATCACTACTCATACCACTTATCCAGCCCATGTATGTAGATATGTATATATAGAATTTCCCCATCGTCGGAGCAGCATGATGATGTTTCGACTCGCATCAGACAATAATCTTATTTCCTCACCTCTTCCTCTATTCTTCTGTCGTGATGGAAAGGGTTGCCGATTCGACCCTCGTTTATTTAGTCTTTCCACTCGATTGACAACGTGTAAAGAGGAGACGGAGCCGAGACGATGCGATATGTGTGCATGTACATATATGTAATATACATATGCAAGGTTTGTGTGATTCACCACCACACCTTTGACTTTCTTGTGTGTGCCGTGGTGCACAGCACTTGTTTCCGTGCATAGAAAGTGGGAGACAAGTGAATGAGACTTACAGATTTACAAAGAAACCAATTCAGGAATGTCCAAGAAGAAAAATGTCCCCTTTTGAAGAAGGAAAAGACCTCCATAGGACAATGGGCGGAATGGGAAAAGCCTTCCTCTTTCACAATCAATCTCCAGATATTTCATTATTGCATGTCTTTTGTATCTAAAGTATCTTCGGTTTGACCCCAACTGTCCATCTCCCCCCATTCAACCACTCACCGGGCTCTCTCTCCCCAAGATGTATGTCCCACAAACTAGTGCCATGTTAAATATCTACCTGGCAGTTTTATATACCTTTCCCAATATCATTTATGCACATTATGTACACACCTCTCCTGCTCTTCTGTACTTGAAAGAAATGATTGTATTTCGCACGTTGTCATTTGAAGCAGGAAAGAAATGGGCCATTCTAGACGTGGATGGATACGATGAAAGAAGAGCAGCTTCCTTCTTCTACTCTCTTCTTGTGTCATTTGAAAAGAAGGACGGAATATGCAGTATGTGTATCTGACAATGAGTGGTGATCTGTTATCTTTAAGAGATAGGAGGATATTCAACTTAAATATCTGTCCATTATTCTATTCAAACTCCGTACAATGACGGCTAGCCAGAAGAAATGAGGGAAAATGGATGAGTCTATCCAGAATTCAGCAACCTAATCCTAAGCTTACAGATAGACATAACCTTTAATATTATTGGTTGCCTTCCATTATACTGCAATTATGTGATCGATTATCATTTTGACTGTGAATTTTACCATTTCGCATCTCATCCATTGTTCAACATTTGAATCCTAATAAAATTATTAGTAGTGCAAAAAGCTGTACAGGGGAAAGGATGAACAAGTTGCGAAAATGGTAAAAAAAAAGTTGTGATTGCCAAAAATAAACAACTGAAAACATTCCTAGAATTATTGTTGTTGTACACTTTGTTGATCTTTTTTGTCAAACTTTTTTTCGCGAATGAATGTACGTAGTATATTAATAGGGTGTCCCAACTTTGTAAAAAAAATCGCTTTTTCCGCTCACCATTTTTTCGCTCTTTTTTTAAACCGCACTGCGCATGCGATTCCGATCTTTTTTCCGCTTTTTCTGCTCAAAAATAAAATCTACTTTAAGATGATTTTTTCGCTCTTTTTACTACTTTGAGTGAAAAATCAGTCTCTCCGAGACATGTTTAAGGGGACATCACCCGATTTTGATGCCCTATGGAATATATTGTAATAAAAGGTGAGTGCATGGAAAGTGAAGGAGGATTTTACTCCATGGCCCCACCTGCGCCCGCCACACCCCCTGAAAAGCATTGTAACCACTAAAACTACCGCATTCAAACCTTTGCCAAAAATCCTATTTTCATCCAATTTTGGTAATTTTTGGATTTACATGATCTTAGATAGTTGTTTTATCATATCCAACATGAAGCAAATTTAAATTTTAAAAGAAACTCCAAAGTTTCCTGACCGCCCATTCTCTGCTCCTGCGTATTCAAGCGATAAAAAATCGGGACAGTCAAGTATTGAGCGAAAAAGCGGATTTCAGATTTTTTAGCTTTTCGCTTTTTTAGATCTTTTTTACAAACTTGGGAGACCCTAATATTTACAAAACTCTTTGGCGAATTGGAATTGGATACCTTGTATGTTCATGTTCATTCAATAATTTTTCTTCCTCTTCGTTCGCGTCGTTCTCATCCTCCAGTAAATGAGCATTTTTCCGGTTTCCAATTATGCTCGACTCAAAATTGACAAGAGAGTCAATTTGTTATTTATTTGTTATTCCTGTTCATGATGCAAGCTGTCTTTAAAAAAATCTGCATATACTGCTTCTCAAAAGTAAACAACTTCATTCATACTTGACTTATAACTCAGCCTTGCTAATGATAAATAAATATATCGAATTTATTGAGCCAATAACCTCACCCATTTTTTATTTAAAAAAAACAAAAAAACATTCTGAATCATTCTGAATTTATGCATTTTTTAAAATAGTGGAAAATTAGTGCAAGCATATTTTGAGTTCAATCAATAGATCCGTAGAAAGTTAAGCTAAATTCGAGATGAGACAAGTGATTGACACATCTCTCACTTGGCTTGGTCCTTGGCAAGCCAAATAATAATGTAAAACCACACTCGGACACCTAAAACTAATCCCACAATCCATAGTGTAAACATGTCCCGTCGTCGTCCTCTGTCTTTCATACACTTTTGTGGGGTTATTATTGCATACGAAATCCTCTTATTACAGAGCAGGTAGATATTTGTATGCATAATGTTCCTTGGTGCAGGTAGTAACTTTTATAATAGACTTAACAGATACCTTGTTGTGTGTGATGATAATGATTTCACCGCATTTTGCATAAATGTGAGAGACTTATTTCGTGTCATCCTTTAAATAAATTGTCTACATAAATCAGCATGCAAATAGACATGCAACCAACCACTGACCAAAATGCAAACATACCGAAGCTACAAATATGCAACCAAAAAAATCTTACCTTGATGGTTAACCTTCCTTGCAACAGGCTTGCACCGCATGGTTGATGCTGTTTGTTTTTGATGGTCCGATCCGACTTCTTTTAGATATCGTATTGACAATATTAATTGACGACGAAAGGGTTAATTAGTGCACAATCAGGCTGCACGACGTTTTGAATTATTATTATTGCTATACATTAAAGTTTTAAGTTACTTCCTTTGAGGAGTCAATGTTTATTATCGTCCAGCCGTCGGTGAGTGTGCAGAGAGTGATAAAAATATGTGTCTTATAAGTGAGTGGCTGCCAACCATAACCCACTATAATAAATAAAGAATTGTCTGTGAATCACTCACTCCATTCTGATTATTATTAAAGTATAAACAATCGTTGCTCAATAGATTCCAAGAAGTCTCCGCCACCAGTCTTATACAAATGTCCACAAAACAACGCACCGTATAATGTTTATGGATCGAATAAAACAATGATGTTTAATTGTCTCTTGAACAAGCAAGATTTGCTGATAATAATATTTGATGATACCGACAACACAATTCCAAGTTCAGTCAAGACCTTCCTCCTCGACCATTAAAAGACAGTGAAGGACAATAGTTCCTTTGTTTCCAGAGAACATATTCTCATTGTCCCAAAGTTGTATGTATGCGTGTACGTGAAATGTCTCACATTGTCCGCCAAGATGAATACTTTGAAGCAACAGAACGACGACTTTCGATGCTTTCTTCGTCCTCACGACTGACAGACAAACAACTAATGTTTGCGTAATGATGATGCTCCAGTTGTGTGTGAGAGTCCCTCTGTTTTTTAATGAAGATGGGATGATGAGAAGATTGTCTTGATGTGTGTTTGAGTTGGTGGTGGGCTTTGGAGTGTGATTCGATATGAAATCTCGGCAGTCCAGAGTGCAAACGAGAGATTGTTGGTTGAGGAGGCGCAGAGCACAAAGTTCTTCCTGGGTCGGATGGACGGACAGTAGCGCTGAGAGGGGGATGAACCTCGGATGTGTCTCCGCCTTTCTCTCCTCCCCTCCTTCACTGTCCTATCTCTCTTCTTCTTATCTTCTTATCCACCACCACCACCGATATCATATCATCACCACTCTCACCTCCTTACCAAGGCCCTCCAATCGCTACCAGAATTCGGAGAGAGTGAGAGCGAGGAGAAGGGAGCAAAGAAAAGTTTCCTAATGCAACAAAAGTTTTCCTTGAGCCTGGATATGCTTTCTCCCTCCAGCTTTCTTTTATCTTTTGGCTGAAAGGAATAGCAGCAGCAGCAGCAGGAGTAGTGGTGTGAGTGGAAGGGAAAGTTTGTGGCTCTTCTCTGCGAACGTACCCAGGACGCTGCTACCTGGCTCTTAGAGTCGGGGAGAATGAGAAGAAAAGAAAAATGAGATCTTTCTGTCCAGGAGAAGAATGGATAGCTGTGTCGATGCTGAATCTGAATTCTGCACTCACTCTCACTTTACTTTCTACTTTATTTCTCTCCTTTCCGGCCAACTTTCTCCCTCCTCAATCGCCGAGCTACTAAATGGCAACTCTTTTCCTTCTCTCTTTCCTACTTCTTCTCCTACTTCGCACTCCTCCTCGGCTGCTACTCTCTCTCTCTCATTATTTGTAATGGATATCTCAAGAGGAGCCCAGCCACTCCTGTCTCAATCCAATAACTTTGCCTTCTTTCTATAACGCACTTAACAACTGATACATGCCTTTTTACACTCAGCACTATATTCTAGCACGTTTGAATTTTTCAGGTCATATCGTACTTATCGTAGTTTGTCTAAATTTTTAGAACCTTGTTTAAATAAATTAGGCATTTCTATACGTCTACAATATCTATTTACCTGTTATAATCATTGAGAGCTATTAGAAGTCCATTTGTTGCAATTTTTGGTACTGTTATTGCGTGAAAACATATACGTGGCGAATTCTACCTCCATCCATCCATCCAAATATGTGATAATCATATTTTGTCTGCTTTTTGTACCAGCCATAAGTAATTTCGTACAGCCTTCAAAAAGATTGGAAATCACCCATTCGAGTTGAATCAATCATATAGCGCAAAGGTCTCTTCTTCCATCTCATTTAGCCGAGCAGACTTTCTTTCTGAGATAATCTCTCATTCCCCTCTCCAGTGAAACAGATGCAGCAAATGAGCCAGAGCTTTCCTCCTCCACAACTTATTCTGGCTGGTCTCCTCTCCTCGTGAAATATGTAATTTATTAATATTTTCTCGTTGACCTTCTATTACGACCTTACTTTCAACCGCCTACAAGACAAGGACAATTATGGCGTCTGCATCAGTTTCAATGTATTCTGCAAAGAGGGAAAAGTATCTATATTTATGTACATGGATATTATATGCTATTTCGTGAAGGAGGAAGAATTACGGAATTTATAGGGAACAAGTATCGTCATCTTGACTTTGATCTAAATTCAATTCAATGCTACGTGTGTACATAAGCACATATCTGTACATATATATATGTGCTCTTCTGATCCTTTCTTTCCTCGCCTTGGTCTCCCAACCAAACGCTACAAAGTATTTTGAGGACAAAGGAGCAAGCAAGTCAGTGCAAAGAAGAGGGAGATGTGATGAAAACGATTCGTCGGATTTATTGCGACCGTTTTCGTTTTCCGATCCAATTCCATCCGATTCCTTTCTGTCTTCATCTTTTCTTCCAAAGGACACCCGACATCGGCCAAAGTGATTTCACTTGGCTATGTTCCTCCATTTCCCTTCGCAGAACTCCATTGGTTCGTTATGTCTTATTTTTTGACAAAGGAATGGAAAGACATGGCCGGACACAAAAAGCGAATACTACTCGAGTCTCTCTGTCTGGAAATCTCTTTGAGAGTGAAAGCATAATCTGCTGTTACAGACGTTTCAAAGCTTTTTTACTAAAAATCCATCTCCATTCCATTTCAACCGTATCTCTGTTCAAAAAGTCTCAACTTTTATAGACGTTCTACTTATTGTGTAAAAACATCTTACGTACATTGTACATGTGTACATGTGTGGGAGATAAACCCAACTTTTTCGAATCCTTGCAAGCAAAACTATATACACGTCGGTATAGTTTAAACTTATCATTCTGATGTAACCTGCTTTTTCAACCCTTTATCCTTAGTTGTGGTGACTATGCATATGTCATTGTTTCATGTGATTGAGATAAGAGTAAGCACAGTGTTACGTGAGATTCATCATCACTTCAACCCACACTCTAGCTCTCTTGGCAAGAAAACAAGTCATCGGCATTACGTAAAGATATTTTTTATGGCTTCTTCCCGAATAAGATCGGTGTTTGTATTGTAACCAAAGTTGTTGTTGGGGAGAAAGAGAAACAACTGAACCGACTGACGAAGACCTCGCCCAATAAGAAGCACTATTAAACCCTACTTCCTCCATACGATCAAGTTTGTATGTATTACTGTACACGATATATGCACAAGCGATCCCACAACAAGCAGCCAGAGATCCAGTTTTTCATCCTCGTGTAGTGTTTTGGTATAATTTTATATGCACCTTTAAAAAACGCTTTTCTTGCGGGCATGGCTGTGGTTCATCGAGAGAGAGAGCCTCCAAACCCTAGTCATCTTGTGAACTTGTTTGACGTTTGACTTTCTCACGGAATCAATATACCCAATGTTCCAATCACACCGTGAGTCAATGTGCATTTCGGCACGGAATGGGTGCATAGTAATGAAGATGAAATACCTTTGAATGCCTCTTCTCCTTCTTCAACAACAATTACACTTCATCTGCATAATTCATCAACCCATTCCCGATATGCCGGGACGAATGGTTTGAAGATGATCGGGTGTCTTCCAAATAAATATTGGTGCCCTAGTTGCATACAAAATGTGAATATTAATTTTTATTAATTTTTAAAACCCCCTTTCTTTGGTCCCTAGAAAACTCCAACCGATTGGTTATTCAGTCATTCATTCATAATCACAAAGAGTGAATCAAATTGAATTTTCATGAATAATGGGAAAAGTATTGGCTTACCCAGTCTTCTATATTATATAAGCATTTGTAGATATTGCTATTCGTTGGGATGCAGATGTATGTAAATTATGCATATCTGAGTATGTAAACTTAAGGGATTGAACAAATTGTGCATTGATCGACATACGCCATCGATTTGTAACCCCTCCGCACAACATGTACATAAATCTATACAAAGAGTTAAAATGACTTTGGACACTTTTAAATGAACGTGATTACTTGTGCTGGTGCATGGGGTCAGGAGAATAATGAAATTTGCATTCCTTGAATATGTACAGGATAACTTGATAATTTATCGATTCCTCTTTCAAATACATGGTTGTAGCAGAATTGTGAACATCTTTCCAATATTCAAATAAAGTCACACGTGTATCAGATTCTTGACCAAGTTTTCGAGATTGCACTATACAGTAAAACTGCAAATAAATATTTCACACCATTAAACATCAGTCTTTTTCCATGTACTGTGCATGGGAATTGTCTTTGTCTGTATCCGTTATTCATAATTTTCTGAAGGACTCAAATGACACAAAGCCAAGAAAAATGCCACCAACAACCAACGTTACTAGAAGCATGACAGAGAGATGAAATTCTCACTGAAAATTTATTGGTTTTCTTATCGTCTTCATAAAATAGTGCTCTAACTGCGAGTTCCAAAAACGAATCATGTCAAGTGACTTACCGTAGTAGACTTTAATGTCGCTCTTTATGACATCCTCGTAAATACTAACTAAACACTTTATTGCTCAGAAATCCTTAAAAATCGCATAAAAGCAAAGAGAGCGTGAAACAATTGTCGAGTGGAATCAGCAGTTACCGTTAGAAGAACAGAATTACAGACAAAACTACTCCTGCTTGAGAACTAATCGGATTCTCAAGAGAGTGCGAGAGAATGACAAACAGGGCAGCTGGAAATTAAAATCTTAAGATGATACACATACACACAACATACTCGTACTTATGTATGTATATCATATTCGACAATATGTGGCTTGGTGCTTCGTGTTCTTTGAGAAAGAACAAGCAATCAGGAGCGACTACGGGTCGCTGACACCCAGCATTTATGGCATGACATGGGTTAAAAGGAAGACGATCTGTTTACAGCATCCCTTATTCTTCGCATGGCTAACACACAACTAAAGCGTGGTCACTAACTGGTTAACAAGGCTTCAACTCGAAAAGTAAGCAGCTACTTAATAGTTTCAAACAGATCTGTTCCAACAACACTTTTTAGTTGGGGTGCGTATTCACTTGGTCCTCCTCCATGAGATGAGAGTTACGGGCCAAAAAATCTCAAACTGTAATTGAATACCCAAAGTTTGGTGTCTGGCGTGGACCTAAATATATTGTGTGCAATGAGTTTGTGAAGCTGAAACTCAAAGAGTACACCGTCCGTCCGTCCGTTATGCTCAATTCGTCTGAATCTTATTTTTCGATACTTTCTAGTGCTGATAGGGATGAGGGAATGGGAGAAAAGGGATCCTGTCCGAACGCAAGATTTTCGTCTTTTGGGATAGTAATTTGAGATGAACCGATTTGTACACATCATCTCAGACAGCAGTCAAAAGTCAAAATAACTTTTTTGTTTAAATTTAACAAACACTTGTTCTATGCAGTGCATACATATGTACATGCATAAGTATGTATGAGGTGATTGAATAAGGATAGAAAACCTACAGCATGTAGGCTAATTTAGCCCGAGACAGGTCGTAGCATGTCACTGCAATCTTCCCCAATAAACTGGTTATTTCTCTGATCATTTTATATTTAGACTAGAAATCAAACCATCAGTCTGACAAATGGTCTACCGATTTTGTCCATCTTCGAACTTGATTCTTCATTTGCCCCACGTGTACCAAGTTCCAAGTAGATCGGATAAATTTTACGAGAGTTACTGATAGAGAAACGTCAGACGGACATGACAGGGAAATAAGCCCTGGCTTTGGTTAGAAAGTGACCTGTTAAACGTTACTGAAACCTGAAACAGACCAGAAATCCGATTTTTTTAAATATCGAAGGTGTCTGACTTTGACAATGAGTAACAAAACGTTCATGTTTATCTAAAAACAACAATATTATAAACTGACTAATTCCTATATACTTATTTTGCACTAACAGAATCAGACATAGCATCTAAAAATATAAAAATAATAAGCTATGAATAAATGTTGTTAATTATTTCAACTTCTTGATCCGAGAGAATAATCAGCAAATCCCGACTGGGATAGGATAGGAATCGCATAATGCCCAATGCTATCATTCCCCTCGAGTCAATACTGCCCGAACTTGACTAATCTATCAAAGCTACATAATTTTGAGTCTCAGATGACTAAGCTTAGATTTGCCTGCGGTTGACTGACCACAAGAGATGCTCCGATATCGAACATCAACGAGAGCTGTTGACTCTCAAGTGTTGTGTTGTATGAATTCATCGCCAATATGCTGCCTTGTGATTCAGTGAAAGCTGTCGACTCACGGATCAGTTCAGTCCGTGTACATTTATA